TGACCATGTCATTTGAAACAGCCGCCTTCTCCGGGACATATTTATTCCGGTTCGTTAAAGTCTGACTGTTGCAGTTCTTCTCGCCTCTTGCCTTAATTGACAGGTCCTATGAACATTGTTTTGATCCTACTCTCCATGGATTTACTACTGACTATGTAGGCGTGTCAAGTTATGTGCATAAATTAAATGATCACCTGATTCATGTCACGCCACAGTATGTATTCCTACACCTGGAATGTTTATGAATCTCGTCATTTTTGTCTGTTTTGACACATACAACTGTTTTTGGTTAAACAATATTGTAGATAAAACATTTTTTTACGTTGTCGAATTTAATTATAAGCATTGACTGTGAATTTTTATTGGTTCATTGAGGTATGAATCGAAAAACCGATGTGCAAACTTTATGTAAGAATCCACTACGCATATCAGTTTTTTTATTCATACCTCAATGAACCGAAAAAATACACAATCCTGAAATAAAATTTCTTGTATGTGTGTGTAGGGGGGGGGGGGGGGGGGGGTAGAATACATAATTAAGCCACAGCAATTCGATAACAAAAAATGATTATTCGCCTTCAAAATAAAACACCGTTTTTTCTTGTGCATAGTGCGCACTTCTTTTTTTAAATGCAGCTGTGCATAATACACGCATACAATTGGGTTTAGTTCTTTTCCCCCTTGAAAATAAGTTTCTGTGAGCGCGTAACGCCGGAAAAGGCATATCAACAAATAAATCAGTAAGTTCTGTTATCTACAATATCTGCATTAAAAATTCTTTTCAGTTATGATTGAGGGTATTTAATAACCGAATCTGGGGCGCATTATAATCAAGTGTAACATATCCACTAGAAAATACCAATTTGGCCCCGTAAATACGTAACACAAACATTTATTTATTGATCTTGGTTTTTGTGTTGCCCTTTCCCCACCTCCGTCCAACCAATTTGGTCCAAGGAGTCTGTAATACAGGGGAAAGCATTGGTCTGGACCTAAGGAAATTATAATATAAATACTTGGAAAAACATAATAACATATCCCACTACCTATACCATGTAAATACAATTTGACAATGATACTTACAGCAATGACATTTTACAACATGATTACAATAACTGGAAGATTGTTATGAGCATTTAAGAGACACAATTCCTGGGATCATCATACTGCTTCAAAGACAATTTACATGGTTTCAAGAAGATGTCACAAATGTCAAAGGTAACAATGACCATACACATCCACACCTCAAAATTAGTGTGTATAGTTGTGACAAACCAAAGAACAAAATTCTTGTAAAGTGTATGTATTAATGTCGACCTTTGACACCTTTTGCACTTTAAGCCTATTTTTACCTTGTCAACGTGACACAGAATAAGTTGAAGTTGGTCCACCCTTGTCGAAGCTTTATTCTGACTTTAAAAGTATATTTTGAAATTATTTTGTGCTTGTAATGTTTACTTGTCAGTTGGGATGTGTTTAGATGACATACATATCTCATGTGGTTTTGCGCAAAAAAAATGTCTTATATGAGAAGTACAAATGTATTCTTGTTTGAAATATGAAAAATGCAGACAATACCGTTGTTGTAATCGGACACAATATATATTTTGAACGTGAATTTGCAAACCCGTCGTAAGAGACGACTAAGTACATCAGAAAGTCAGGCTTAATGGCTGTGTTGATTGTATGTCAGATTATGCCAATTCTGTGGATTGATGCTCATGAGGTCATTCACTGGCTTATGTGGTCCAGACTCGAATTTTTACAAAAAGTCGCAATATGACTGGAATATTGCTGATTAAACATAAAATATTGTTTTCATAGTGACCAAGAACGTTGCTTTTTACTATTTCTAAGTTCGCTTTTTAGCAGTTAAGGGCTATACCTTAAAATGTGAATATGAGAAAGCAAATATGTGTTATGAGAAGTGTCAAACGTGTATTATTTTCAATATGTACCATTTCATTGATCAATTTAATTTTTTACTCTTAGCTCATATTGATTCATTCAAATAAGTATTTAACTTAAGAAATCCAACACTCTCGATAACTCCAAAATTACCATTCATAGATAGTAAAATAAAACTTCTCGTCTTAACAACACCCACCCTACAGCAAGGCGCAGGTGCACACCATTTGAGTACACAGACACACTGTTTTGTGTCTCGAAAATGTTTCTGTTTGTTTGTTTGTTTAACCCCGCAATCAGTATTATTCCAGCTACATGACGGCGATCTGAAAGTAATCGAGTCTGGACCAGACAATCGAGTGATTGATATCATGAGCATCGCCATCGCGAGCCTGACCAACCGATCCCCTTGGCCGCCTCTTACGACAAGCATGGGTTGTTGAAGGCCTATTCTTATCGAATCTTGACGGGTATATATATATGTGTGTGTGTTTATATATGTTTATTGTTTTACGCCACTCAGCAATATTCCAGCTTATGACGGCGGTCTGTGAATTATCGAGTCTGGACCTGACAATCGAGTTTTTGACATCATGAGCATCGATCCACGCAATTTGGATATGACATGCATCAACCAAGTCAGCGAGCCTGACCACCCAATGGCGTTAGTCGCCTCTTACGACAAACATAGTCACCTTTTACGGTCTTCAGCATGGGTTGCTTTCCTGTCTTATTGCATCTTTTAATTATTTGGGTTATTTTTATGGTATTAATATAAAATAGTAATGCCAAAAAACAACTAGGCATACATTTGTATTGTTATTGTTTATTTTCATCATGAAACCTTTTTGTAACACTGGCAACTAATGATATTACCAAATGTGTGGAAGTGTTCCATAAATATATATTTTCAGTTTCTTACATAAAATGAAGAAATTAGGAATTAAACTTTTGTTATCACTGATCCTTACCTCTTAAGAAATCAAATGAACCATAAAATAGACAATTATGTCACTGTCTGATGTTTTTTAGGGAAAATGGCCACCAGCCTCGCTGTCCTTTTTATTGGGCAGTTATTTTCAGACATATAAGAATTAACTTTATTTCCACATGGAAAACAATCCGAAAGATGTAAAGTTTTCACCTTTTCGATATCGGAACAATATTCGGAAAGATACATTGGATAAACTATCTACACATTTACCATGTCACAAAATGTAACTGGGGTTAGGTAGACGTTTGTCCTAAACTATATATGCTATTTAGTGCAGTAAATACGTGTTATTCTTGATGCCTTACTGCTTCTTTAATACAATGTCCAAACTATTCTTAATTCCTGGCTGTGGGTTGTTTCAGTCTTTACTTACAACGTTTATTGGTGAGGTAAAGTGTTTGTTAGAACTGGTTGTTCCAATGGAAAGGAGGGAGCGCAGTGTAATTTGGGGGTGCTATGGTCGCTGATAATCATTCTCTGTTCAGACTCGATGACCACGTGTACTGTTTGATACTATTTAGGAGAGGTGCTTTCTTGTAATTTTACTATGGTCTAATGAATGTGTATGGTCTAATAAATGTTGTAGGATTATGGTAATCGACTTAAAAATAGATATGGTCAGGTTTAACTTAAGCATGCTATGGTGGCGAACACAATTAACTGCCTATCTAAACGTGGTGAAACGTTCTCTTTATCTATAATGTCTACACATCTCATTACTTTGGTCTTTAATTAACTGTCAAAAACGGTTTTCATATCTGTGGTGCGACCGGTTTGTTGACTCTATCACATCCATCTCAAGGTGAAATGAGGTGAAATGGGGGCTTGACATCGATTTCAAGATTTTTTGCACTTATATAGGAACGTGCACATGTGTGTCTGCCTGTACTAGTGCACGCCCACGGAGATATCATGATACATTTTAACATGGATAGCTCATTCACACACATTATACTGATTCTGAGCCAACCGGTCCTTGTTTTATCCCCTATGCCGAACACCAGTCAGGGTAGCAAGAAGTACTAGTACGTACATGTTCATATTTTGTATGGCGTGGCTAAGAGATCGAACCACCGACTTATCGCTCTCCGGGCAGACGCTCTATCCACTACACACCACGGAGGTTCAGAACATATTTATTACCCTCATCCATGGATTGCTGATTATATGTGCAGCTAAATGAAACCTTGCTTTATTGGGTAAAACAGTATAGTATGACTATATCATCGCGGGCTCGAATACGGGACTCGTTGCGTTTTGTCACGGTTACACGTAAATAAACACGTCAACTTTTGTTTGACAGTTTCTGGAATGTTTTTGAAGTGGAACTACCCCTATCTTCATTCGAAATTGGTTAGAAAAGAATCCAAACGTTTGGACGATGTCCCTTGACCTAACATAGGTCGTACGAATACTGATTATGCATAATCCAAAACAGGAAGTGATGTAAACCACATACTAGTAATCCAAAGTATCACACACAAAATAGTGATACCGCGATAACATAGAGTTGCCCGCTCTTGAGTCGCCAATGACAGGTACTTTGTTTACCGACCTCGGACTCGTCCTCAGGTGCATTGTCCTGGTGGAATAACATCCTTAGACATTGCCAGTGAATCAATTGAGCATGTTTATGGAGCGATCATTTATTACGGGGACAGAGGTTTTGATGCAGTTATATACTGAAAATAGTTCCCCTCCCCTAATGCTTGTCATATATTGGGGATGACCCTCCCCATGTCATTGTACATTTTTTCTTGACCCTCCCTGAAAAGACAAATGCGAAAGCACTTTATATGTTTTCATAAAATGTAATTTTTTTCATGACCATCCCCACATATGAGTATTATGTTTTATGACCTTTCCCCTGCGAGTGGCCCTCTTTTCGGTGACCCTCCCGATTCCCTCTGACCTTGTAGTTGCACACAAGAAATGACTGCCACCCATGAAAAAGTTATCCCACTTTAGAACTTCCCATACGTGTAATCAAGTGAATAAATTTATATTGGTTTAATAGCTAGTTAGATTCTGGACTCTTAATAGCCAATCTCGTATCGGATATATCATATACATCTACTAATGTTGACTGTCAACTTACCTTCTTATCTTCTAATCTGACAGCATCAAATATTTTCCACACCATCTCAGGGCCAGCAGAACCAGTTTGGCGCCCGAGATCAAAATGTTTTGTGATAGGATTGTTATTATCCGCCAATATTGAATGCTTGATGAGTGAAAGGACATCCATGGTATAGTTCACATTACAGTGTCCTCTCCCACAGTCAACTTGATCACCCTTTTTACAGTTTTTCCTGTTGTTTTCCAGCATGGATAGTTAACAGACAGTTTTCACACTTATTACATATGTTTCATTTAATATTATCCAACGGTATTTTGGATAATCACTCTTGGTAAAGAGTGCAGACAATGTTTTTCCTCTGCCAACACATCAACATTGGAAATAAATGTTGATAAGTCATCATGTCATTCAGTCATGTTTGAGCATATCATAACAAGATCCAAAGGATGTACAATTATCAATCAGCACATTATCTTTACGACTAAATCATCAGGAAATATGGACAATGTAGGCATTATGAAATAAGATGTGTCTCAAAGAGTGAATTTAAGAAAAAGCTTGTGTAAAACATATACAACACTGGACACTTGTATATTGGTATACAAAATATAGCTATGGGGATGCAAGATATAACAACAAAAATATATCCAAATATACTGTTCAGAATATCTATACTCATGTGTGTAAACACTGAGTAACATAATATGCAAAAATGTGTCTAGAATCACTATTGCTTACAAGAGGCAAATATGCCATTGCAATATGGACATGTTTAAACAGATGTCTAAAATTTTCAAAAGTGTTATGTTGACCCACAAATCAACAAATAAATATTGACTGTTGTCACTTGTCCCACTAGGCTATGGACAGTCATACAGTTATAGTGTGGAGGAAGAGAGCTGGACACAGTAGGATCGCGTTAAAATACCTCACAAAGCTTGCAAGTTTCCATGGTGAGACTGCTGGTAGCCTCTAGCAAATCTAGTCATTAATTGGAGACGATGTGATCCATCAACTCCTTGGTATAGCCTTATTTCATTCTTCCTGTCTTGGCTGCCACAGAAAAGATTTCTTGGAAGTGTTACTATTTTAGGAACATACTGTAGCACCTCACACGAATGCAACCAGAAGTCTTGGAAATGGTGTTTATTCATCAATATGGTTTGATTTCTTTTGCCAGAGATTCCAAATGTAAGCTAGCCATAGCAATCTGAAAAGAGAACATATTTGAATTTACTGAAAACAATGTATTTTAGATGTAGAGCTGGGTTATCTGTAGGCTTGACATCATTTAATCAAAATTTGAACTGACCAAATACGCAGTTGAAGCTTTTAGTACCGCCAAATGTACAAGTACCTAGCTCTACATTAAAAACCACATTCTACCATGAAAATATATAACAATAATTCTTTGATATTACAAATCGTGAATGTTCTAGTCTAAAAATATAGTAGGTGTTCGAGTCGAATAAGTAAATCACACATGATAGCAGTTAAGCAAAGTATGTCACTGTATATAATCAAACATTGATTGTATATCTATACATGTAATTCAAGTGCAAATTCTTGTAAGCACACATTCAGTGGACAGAAATCTTTGAAGAAAATGAAGCATGTGATGCAAGGTGCAATTCTGTGAGCTCTTTTTGACTGGTCACACCATGCACACAACTTTATGCCATCACTGGCCTAGTGTTTTCAGAGGTCTTGGGTGGAAAATGTAATATATCAATAAAGAAACATGTATGTGAAGGACAAAGGTGAAAGCTGCGTAAAAATTCATAATCTGAGATGAGAAGCTAAAAGATCAAAGGCATCGACAATGATGGGTTGAGATCAAAGCATTCAAAACGTTCGCGCCTTTGGCGAGCATAATCCATTTTAATTCCTAAATGTGATATTTTAGAATTCGAGTATGAATATAACCGTGAATGTACTATAGTGCCAAGTGACTTGCAGCCATGTTTGTTAACAGTTTATTGAGAAAGAAGGCATCGCATTGATCTATGGACTTCGAAAATAGTTCCTGCTATGCGACCTCTTTGCATATTTATTAGATCATGATACCAAGTTTACGGGATTGATTTATCTCATCGTTGACGGCGGCCATGTTGGGATGGGTGCATCTCATAATCTCGCGATATGGCCCTCATTTCCTTCTATAGTTCTTTTCCCGGGCACGTGAGGTGAGCTGTCGAGCACGTGACTTTATGAAGCTCGAGGACGATTTTTTCAGATAACAGAACGTTTATGGGATATGTTCCTCATTCTTTGCCTTTCTGGAAAAGTTTGCGATAAACGACGTCCTCGCACTTCCCATGTACCACATCTTTGGCGCGTTGTCTATTTACAGTGAAACAATTCCCTATTTATGCTTTATACATTATGAAACATGTAGGACTAACTTTTGTTGATGAATAGTGGCCAGCTTAGCGAAACTAATATAAAGTTTTGTCAGTCTGACATCGTTCACATTTTAAAGGGCTAACTGGCAGTGTGATGTGGCATATACATACATACATACATACATACATACATACATACATACATACATACATACATACATACAGGAATTGTTTTACCTTTTTTCTGTAAAATCATTCATCACTGAACATTCATCATTTTACATACAGAATTCACTAGCTAAATTTGTAAGACTATTTAATATGTTCATTTACCATTCACAGAAAGCGCAAACGTGTACTTATATTGCTTAATAAGTATTTATAACATTCTCATGCATACAATTTGAGATGTAAATAAGAATATTACTTAATCGTTTTGTTTGTCACCTACACTGTAGTCACAAGAATTATTTTATTTGTATTTCGCAAGTAAAATTTTAATGCTGAATAAAAATTAAATGTTTTTTTTAATCGAAAATTAATCTTGTTTCAGATATTAAAGACTATGTGCCTCATTTGCCAACGAGATGCACTGCTGTCAAAGTAAAGGACAATGGCAACGATGAAAAAAACCAACAGATTCTTCGTACCAGAATACTGTTCAGTTTTAGTGCATGCGAAAATGATGATAGATGAGGCGAGAAGTAGAGACCTGGTCCCATTTCAGTCACTCGAGTTCATACAAGGCCTGTTCAACAGCAGCAAGGGCCTCGTAATGGTCCCAGTGGTCAGACGACTAAGATACAATCATCGATTCTGCAGGTTCTCAGTCAGGACATGTCTGCTCTGATTGTTGACGTCAGTGCACACTAACAAGATGGGGTTAACACAGTCCAGTCACAAGTTAGGTATAACATTCCAGGTAGACAGCTTTCGACTGGAAGCATAGTGATCGCCACACCCTTAGCGTTACAACTGTCGACGGTGACGTCCTGTCCGTGCGACACCCGTTCATTCCAAAAGAACGTGCAACTTCATCCGAGTCTGCTTAGGCTGATGTGTCTTGCTTGACAACGGTATACTCGCCATTACAGTAAAAACAAGTTGTTCTCCATAAATTGTGTCTACTTTGTCATTCGCTAACTTCTAAGGAATGCCTGTCAAACAATTTGCATATGTAGTTGCAAATAACATCTAGTCTCCAATAGCAGGCATTCCCCAGAATATTAAATGGTCGGTCCCTAAAATAATATTATTCGTTGTGTTTCTAGTCATTCATTTACTGGGGGCACATCTTTTCTGGAACCAAAAGCGTGATGAATTGTTGCCAAAAGATAACCATTAATAAAATAGACAAAAAAGAGCTCCACGAGGTTGAGTTTTTGTTGTTGTTGTTGTTTTGATGAGATGATTCTAGGTAATTTCACACTAAACTGTGCTTGCTGGACTAAATGCCAGGCTTATTGACAGTTTCTGCTGGACAATTGAAACAAAAGGCGCCCTCATATTTTAACCGTAGTAGTTCAGTGCAAAACTATACTTTATTACACTACACATGGGGTTAAACCAAACATATTTCTTAATGATAAAATACTGCTCACAGCACATAGAGGTCCACACATCACAATTTAAATGATATGGCTGAGTAAGAGGGAGGCGGTGACATTTTCAATATGGGTGACACTGTGGTTGGGCTGAACTGGAGCTACTAGGACAGATTTTGGCATTGATGCAGCTTTAGCTTTGCAAAGACTTACAGGAAGAGTGCAAATGGAGGATACATAGAGGTTATCACGCGAGTGTGTTTGGGGATGGTAAATATCCTGTATTAGGAATTAACATTGTATTTTGCGAGCCTTGGCGAGCTAAATACATATTAGTGTTTATTCCCAATACAGGATATTTACCATACCCAAACACACAAGCGTGATAACCTCTTTGTCATATTATGTCATTCTTTAATTCTGTGCTTTCTGTGCTAAATCGCTTTCCCTTCTCACAAACATTACCTAAACATTGCTAAACATTTTCCTGGAATGCGCGCATTAATATTTATTACGTCACAGGTTAAGTGTGTCAGTCGGACAGTGACAGTAGCCAATATAGTTCCAACTGAAAATGTATCTCTGTAGTTTATCCAGATCCACGATGGTTAATTCTGACTCGATTGCCGAATGACAAGGGCGACGCCATGTTTGTTTATTAACGCTGAAAGTAGTCCCTATTTGACCTTTGATATTTGCATCTCTATCCGCATATGACCCCAAAGGATATCGTTTTTATCCGTTGGCTTTATCCTGCCGAGACACCTACCCATTATATGATAAATATATATACGACCAGAGCTTATCAGAGTCTGTGGATCCAAACACAGGCACAATCACGTTGGAATGATTTTTCTTTTTCCAATTGAGGGACTGCACGATGCACGAGTGCTCATCCACAGTTGCCATGGTCAAATCTCCCCATGTGGAGTGAGATCATGCAGAGTGATTAATGAACCTAGGAGAGACATACAAAGTATATGTCGACAATCTAACACACAGTTTGTTGGAGTCCATATTAAACGATTAGTAACAAAAGGGAGCTGGATGTAACAGAGACTCGCCTGAGTGTGATCGAACTAGGAATCCGGGACATCACCTGTTCTTGTGTGTCATCATTTGTCTCATTTGTCTCATGTGCCAGCAAGAAAACAAGTTCTCTTTTACGGGTGTGGGCAGACATCAAAGTCATTGATGACCATCTTGTGTCCCATCGTATGGGACAAGCCGAAGCGTCTTCTGGTAGGTAACGGAAGGGGTGAGTGGTGACAAGTATTGGGAAGTTGATCAGTATATGGTAACTTCTAAGTTAGGTAACCCAATGACGACAGCGCACATACATCGAGGTCTAATTCATAGAAACAATCTGACAGTGTTGAGTAGCTGTAACAAGTTAGATATCCGTGTAGATGCTGTTAACTCTGCTGCAGGGTCAGGCGACAGCAACTGTTGAAGCAAACCAATTGAGGCCCTTGGAATTCTCTACTGCTTTCACAAATGTCGAACCCATGCTTGCGGTGAAAGGCGACTATGCTTGTCATAAGAGGCGACTAACGGGATCGGGTGGTCAGGATCGCTGACTTGGTTGATGCATGTCATTGTATCCCAGTTGCGTGGACATGATCACGTGTCAATCACTGGATTATCTGGTCCAGACTCGATTATTTACAGACCACCTTCATATAGCTGGAATATTGCTGAGTGCGGCGTTAAACAACAAACAAACAAACACAAATGTTGATTCCACAACCTTCAGTTTCGAATGTGTGACGTTAATGTGAATGAATTAATTTGTAAAAAGGCATGATCCTCGATTATCCAGTTATCATATCTCCATTATTTTACGATGTATACCATGTACTCATTCGCTGCCATAGCTTCAGCTTGAGTCTGGTTCAATTAACATGTCATCTAAAAATAGATAGTACTGTCATGGTTGTATTAACATGTCATCTAAAAATAGATAGAACTGTCATGGTTGTAACAACACCAATAGCTTGAGTACTCAACTGGCGTTGTTGTGTGCTATTTGAAATATAACTTGGGACTCTGTTACCAATCAGCAAAACACCTTTTCTAGCTGACAGTGTATTTGTAACAGTCTTCTGATCCGAAGCTATGATTCGAATGTAGATATACATTTATGCCAGAGTCACGTCCAAAAGCGGTAATTTAGCTTTTTAAATTCAAGATGATGAGCGAGAGACATTTTATGCTAAGTAAGTGATAAGGGAGCTTGAGATTGTGAGGACACTTCTTAAATGAAGCTATGGTGGTCTAGTGATGGTGGTGGAATTCGGGTCATACCTGGAGGCAGAAAG